AGGAAACCAGAAATTGTAACTTCAGTTTGTTTTGCATTGATCGATGATGTTTAAAGAGAACTATTGTAAGAAATGTATCTCATGATTGTATGAATTATGATCTTAGTGATATGTAATGGAATGTATTAAAGTCATTGTTAATTGAGGGTTTGCTTTACATGCAAAGAAATCTGAAATAATAGTACCCTGTAAGCATTTTTTTTAACCTAGACCTAGTTATTTTTGTTAGTTATGAGTCTTGATAAGTAATTTACTATACTAAGGTTTTACATGAAAGAAATCCCAAGATCCAATGCCACAATCAGATATTTATCATGGATATATAGTTCATTAATTTACAGTGAAATGTAAAGGTTGTTTTTTCTTTCTTTTTTCTTCTTTGGAAAGCAGCTTAATCTGCAGAAACTTCAATCAAAGCCAACCACAATATATAACACATGCATTACTGGATATCAAGGCATAAACCAGTGGATTTGAATGTATGAACCCCTAACAGTATTTTGTGGCAAGGTATTAATCCATGGAAGGTACAACTTGTTAGCATCCACAACTACCAATACCAATAATTTGCTTTCGGATTCCGCTGGTTGTTTACATCCAGGGTGGTAGAGCCAGAAGGTGTGTATATATAGATGCATGTCCATCCTGTATCTTTCATCCACATCCAAAGTTCTTTGCCAATTAATACAAGTTTTCTCTTCTGGGTTTCATTGACCATTTCAATGGCTAACCGAATTGCGCTAGTTTAGTTTAAAAAAATACTATAAAAACCGCTTCTAAATTTTTAACCCTAGCATTCCCTCTCCTTCCATGTCCGGTAGTCGCACCCCCTACAAAGCCCTTACAAACCATAACTCTCAAATCTCAATCGCTCACACTCTCAGCTTGATAAAAAATTAAACAATCTAGGGATTAGTTTAGTATATGCTTCAAATCTTCATTTTTAAAGCTTTAACATTTGTTTTTTATCATCGCGGTTCTATGTCCTTTTTTTGTAAGGTTGAATAACTCCTGTTATAATTCCTACTAAGACTAAGAAGAAAAGTAAAAGCTTTGTACATAAAAAGTTATTGTGTTTCGTTGTTTATATAGAGATCTTTATTTTCAAATTTTGTTTTTTGTTTAATTTTTATATTGGTTTTTTAGTTGTTTTCGTAACTATTTTGTAATGTGTGGAGATGAGTTTGTAGTTACTCAAGATTGTTTTAGAATAATGAAATAATTCTTTACTATATTTTATTTGCTTTTAATTATTACATGTTTAAGATTGTTTGAGATTTATTGTTTGTTGAGTAATTAAGTTTTTGAAATTATGAAGTTTGTAGGGAAGAACAAAAAGGAAAGTTGGAGAAGTTATAGAGAAAATTATTAAAAAAAACCAAGTAGATTTGAATATAGATTTTTCTGGTTTTTATATTTAAAAAACTGAAGTGGATCAAACCAATTCTAATTCAAATATTTTATTTTTTAAAATTTTTATTTTAATTAATTTTTAAATAAAAATTAAATCAAACAAAAAATAATCATCCCTGCTTGGATATTTATATCCATAGACACTACAAAAGCTTACATGAACTTTATAGAAGAGAACAAAATAGGAAAACAAACGAGCTAATGTAAGTTTTGAGATCTACGTTCAAGTAGCTAGAGATTTTCGTTAACCCAGATCCCTAACCATCCAATTTCTTCACCAATCCTTGTTAATTTTAAGATTTTGGCTATCTGTTGCTAACAAAATGTTGTGTTCTATTGAATTACAGACAAACTCAGAGAGAAGAGCGTTTCAGTAATATTTATAATGAAATATATTATACCACAAGGACCTTTCTTTTCCTTCTTCTCGCATGGTTTTGTTGCAGAAGAAGATTGATTTTAGTTATCATGGTGGCAGCAATTAATGTGATTAAATTAATAATTAAACTCTCAAATGAAAAATAAAATAGAAATGTGGAGCACATCTGACATCTAACGGCAGTCCTCGCTTTCAAGGTAAGAAGTTGGCAGGGATATTGTTGACTTGCTCTTCAATTATTTATTTTCCTCTGTGTCTCTCTACCTACTTACCGTGAGGTACCAACCACGGCAGAACTTAAGAAAACTGATTTCCTTTTCTGATTTCTTCTGGAAAAGGGAAACTACAACTAGGTTGATTGACTATGAAATATCAAAGTAAACGAACTACAAGACAACATTTCCAAACGAGACCTAATATCGTAGCTTCTTATATAATCAAAATCGAACCCTTTATTTGTAATTTGATCAATTAAACTTTTTATTTCTTGATCTTGATTTTCTTAAACACTTTGTCCATGCTTTCCAATTGATTTATTATGATATCAAAGGTAACAAATGTCATGATAACACTTGTGTTCTTGATTCCACCGCACTCACCATTAAAATTGAAGTAGAATTAAAATAAAAACATTAAGGAAAAACTTAAACCTTAGAGACATTAATTGTGGAGTATCTCAAGAAAATAACAATAAAAATAAAGAAAAAAATGAAAAAAGAAGAAGAGGATAGAGGAAAATATTAAAGATATAGACACGAATAATAATTTTAATCCACCTATTAATCAAGGATTCTTTTTTGTAGAAAATAATAGTGTTTGCTAGCTAAATTTTTTACATGTATTCTTCTTCTTATAGAGAAAATATATATAGCAGAACTAAAAAAGACAACAATCTTATTATAAGAAATTATAATAATATTAAATAAAATTTAATTTCACTTTTATAATTAATCAGATTCATATAATTACTATCTATATAAAATTTGATTTAATTCTTATAATTAATTAGACAACTCATCATGTCAACACTTCTTAAGTTACCATAATTTTTTTATATATATTGTATATATTGTAGAGGTCCTTTTAATCTTGACATATTTATGGTAATATAATCTATTTAATATTTACTAATAAATTAAGTTCTCTTAATACATAGTATAATTATTGAAATAAGAGTATTTTTATGGAAACAAATGTTTTAACACAGTTACATATAAAGGGGTTGATTTGAATAGAAAATCAGAAGGTGTTAGATTATGGACTAACCATGCCAGGAAATGGTCAGGTTTTCAGCTTCGGTATCTATAATTATCTTTACCTTCTTGTCCTGTACTTCATTTTGTTCGTCAGCATTGGCTAAATTTAAATCTCCTTCTCTTTATTTTTGTTTCCTTGTTAATTTTCTTTCTTCTACTTGTACCTACTTATTCTTATATACTTTTGAAAAACAAGTGATCCAAAAATTATTGAATAAATTATTGCTTTGACTTTAAGGCAATATTAATACAAATATATATGCAAAAAAAAATACCAAAAAAAAAATTCAAATAAAAAGCTAAATCTATAGCCATTATATAAGGATAAAATTAAAAAAAAATAAAGTGATATAAGTTAATCCAAGTAATGAGATTGGAATAACTCAATAACAAAAAAGAATTATAAAATTTAATTTTTAACAAACTCAAAAAAAAAACAAAAAAAAACACATGTAAACTAGGGTAAAAATATCAAACTTTGCTACTCAAATTATACAAATAAAATAATTAAATAAAAAAAGTAGCAGCAATAACAATAATAATATAAATTTTAATTAAAAATCAAATTTAAATGTAATATAATATTAAATAATAAAACTAAAAAAAATTAAATTAAAAAAATAATATAAATTAAATTAAAATTGTCAATCATACTCGTAGCCTACATCATAAATAAATAAGAGTCCGTTAGTCTCTAAGACAACGTTTGTGTTTATTTTAAATGCACTAATAATAGTGTTTGGTTATCAATTGAAAGCAATATATACATTGCAGGCCCCACCATTTATCTGAGCCAAGTCCTCAATTATGGAAAAACAATTTTTTACTGCTTTTTGCAAGTTCAACGATATGTTTAACTTTCTTATATGGCTGGCAGAGTGAATCAATTCACTCTGCACATGATAATGAAAAATAAAAATTTTATTATTTTTATTTTTAATTATTTTTTAAATTAATATTTAATATTATTTAATGATACTGTATAAATTAAAAAAAATTGCATGATAGTGTATCATTTATAAAATTTGATTGTAATCCCAACTTTGTTACTAATAATATTTTTCTTGATTTTATTACACACTTAAAAAACTATGAAAATTATAATCCTTGTTGAATAAATTTTATATATCATGGAATTGTAGATAGTTTAATGGAATAATAAAAAATATTTTATATAAAATATTATTTATTTTTCGATATAATAATAATAATTAAATCTACAATATTTAAATTAAAAACCATCAATATTAATATATCTCTTATTTCATAACCTCAATTTAAAAAGTATTTTTAACCAAATACATTAAATTACAATTTCAATTATATTTTTAACCAAATATATATAAGTACTAAACTAATCTCAACCAAAAATTCTTTTTATAAACAACTTGTTTCAAACTACAACCACAAAAATTACCATAATATGAAACACAATCGCCTTACATAAGGAAAACAAAAGTAAGGAGTTAAGTCTAATTTTTTTAAAAATTAATATTAAAAGATAAAATTAAAAAAAAATCAACCCTAAAACAGAACAAATATCATCTTGGTTTCACTTTCCATACATAGGACCTGAATCTTAATATTAAAATTTTTCTATCGAGGAAAACACTAAAACTCAATTTCCAACTAATCTAATATTAAAAAAAAAAATTAATAAAGAGATTTAAAATAAAAAAATAAGAATTAAAAGAATAAGAATTAAATTTGAAATAAAAGGAATTTAAAAGGATAATTTAATGAAATTAAAAAATATTTTATAAAAAAATCTATAAGAAAAATTAATAATAAAAAAAATAAAAATCAAATTTAAAATAACAAAAAAGTAAAACTTAGAATTGTGGCCTGATCAACATGATTATCGATGACAGCAGAGAGATAAAAAGAAAGAATAAAGAAAGCGTTGTGGGCCACACATTGTCGCGATTACAATAGCTGCATGCGTTGCCATAAATGGAAGAAGATGCTGCCAAGCTCCCAATGCAATCACAAAATGCTACTTTTGGCCACTAGAAAAAGGTAACAGGCGCTGCCTGAGTGTTGTGGTTTTTGTCACTTGTTGGCGCGTGTACTACAGAATCCAATCAATCTTCACAATGTTGGGTAACCAAAAAAAAAACAAAAAACCTCAATATTTCCCTACGCCGGTGCAGCCCTGTCTCTAATGAAAGAAAATTAGAGGAATTTATTTTATTAATTTATAGTAATTAAAGTCTTGGGGATCAAAGCATCAGCAAATATCAAGCCCCTCTAAAATGAAATTATATTAATTTATAGTAATTAAAGTAACATGTGTTGCCTGAGTGTTGTGGTTTTTGTTATTTATGGGCGCATGTACTACAGGATCCAATCAATCTTCACAATGTTAAGTAATTAAAAAGAAAAAATTCAATATGTCCCAACACCCGGTGCAACCTGGTCTCTAATGAAAGAAAATTAGAGGGCCAATATGATGCTTAAAATTTAATTCCCAAGCCTTTAATTACTATAAATTAATAAAATTAATTTTATTTTTTAAAATTGAATATTAACTAAAAAAGAAAATAATTCCTCAACACTTCTATCAGTTAACAAATAAAATAACCCGTGAACCCCAAACCAACATTATCACAATGTCAAAAGACCAAATTAAAATTTTAAAATAGAAAAAAAATTCATTTGAGATTACTAATACATAATACTTATTGAGAGGGACTGCATTAATTTCGCAAGGAGTCTTAGTTTTTTTTTTTAAAATTTAATTTCTTAACGTTTTCTGTTAACTATATCCAACATACATACAGATTGAAATGGGAAATTTAAAAGATCTGGGAACAAAATTGATAATGTTCTAATAGTTAACTGAGAATGTATTTAAGGTTAGTCCTATAAAGCAAAATAGAGGAGTTTGATCCTTTGTTTGTCAGTGTGCATAATTTTCTAGCCATTAAAATTGGAAAGAACAATTTCCAGGTGTCGCATGAGCTCAAGTGTTCTTGAATCCTATAGCTTTTGGGACGCAATTACCTAACGTGGAAGCTGCGGATCTGTTGCAGCTTCTGTGTTCACCGCCGACGAATGTCTAACGCAGCCTCAAAAAGCGGCGCAATATGAGGGCGCAGGCCGCACAATCTTCAGAAATGGCAACTATACCCGCACAATAACAGCAGGAACATATCCAGTACAAATAGGGCACTACCGGCCCATTAATTTAGTCAGCCTGATATTCAACTCGCTTTAAAAATACTCTTCCATGCTATTTTATATCTTAGCCTCTAAACTTTCCAAAATATTTATTTGTGTCCTTAAAAGTCCCTCAAACATAAGTTCCTTTTGGAACTTTTATTTTATAAAAAGAATCTACTCCTCAGGTTAAAGTTTTTGCAATGAGGTATACTTTAAAGCATAAATTTTAATATCAAATTTATTTTGAATTTTGTATTTTTAATACCAAAAGATGTATTTTCTAATATAATTTTTAAACCTTCAAATATGAAAATTTATAACTAAATTCTAACACTTTAAATATAAAATAAATAAAATAATTAGTAAATGCTTTTTGATATTTTGATCAAATCCTAATGAATAATTATAAACTGATTATGATATCTATTTTATATTTTAAAACATGAAAAAAATATAATTTTTTAATAAAAATATACTTGACTGTAAACATGAAAAATACATTTTTGTTTTTTTCTTAAAGGGAAAATTAATTTAATTTTTTTTGAAGTTTTAATTTTTTTTAAGAAAAGTTTCGGAGAAAACCCAGTGTTTTAATACCGAATCTATATTTTTAAATGTAAATATATAGCCTGATATTATACAATATTATTGGAAAAACTTGTTAAAAAATCAAAAATATTTAAGATGACCCTTGGAATTTTTTTATTATATAATAATAATAATAATAAAATATATTTATTAAAATTAAAGGATTACAATGGAAAAGAAAGTAATTAAAACAAATTAAAAAAGTATAATGATATGTCATTTATACCAATATAATTACCGATGATGTTAATATCATCAGTAAAATCTGTCTGTAAACTGTTAACTTTTTCTGGATACTATTTATCATTTCAATTATAAAAGAAATTACTGATGAATTAATTCTGTTAGTATTTTCTAAAGAGCTCTTGAACTATTTACTTTTCAATTATATTATTATTTAATGTTCTTTATAGACGAAATCACTAATGAATTGAATAATTGTCGATGTTATTCAGTTGTTTTTGAAAATTTTTGCTTAAATTAAAAATTTAAATTAAATATTATAAACAGAATCACCAATGGATTGGAAAATCATTAATGATATTTGACAGTTTCTAAAATTTTTTAATTAAATTAAAAATAAATATAATAGATAGAATCACTAAAAGAATAGTTAAAAATATTACTATTAGAATCTCTCATTTCACAACAGACGTGCATTTTTTTCTTCTTCTTTCTCTTATGTAAAAAACACCAAAATCTCATTTTTTTTCCTCTTCTTTTCTCTCCTCACCTCCTTCTATTCTTTTTCATGCTAAGACTTATCTTCTCCTCTTTTCTTTTCTTAGTTTTTTTAATTAATATACTTTATGAATTTGTTTTTTCTTTACTCGTAACTACATTTAAGTAAGATTTTTTTTTCTTTTGCATTATATTTTTTTTATCTTATTTTTAATTTTTTTAGTTTTTAATAATTGTATGAATGTTATTAAAAGATTTATTTTTCTTAAGAGATCAATTTTATTGGATTGTTTTTCAATTTTATGCAATTTCAATTAAATTATTATATTTGTTGCTAGATTATGGGCTCTAAAATAAGCCATCTTAGGTATTTAGTTTTTTATGCTATTTGTTTGTTGCAAATTTGTTTGAGTTGATTTTTTTTCCAAGTAACTCAATTCCTGAGTATTATGAAATGTTGATTTATATTAATTTAATTATTTTCTAGTTCTATTAAATAGGTTTTATAAAAATATATTTTTAAATAATCATCGATGGAATTGCATACAATATTTTTATTAGTTATGTGAGAAGCTTCTCAAGGGATATACCAACGGAATAAAGTAGGTTAATTTTTTTGCGTGTTTTTTTATTTAGTAAATTCATTGATAATAATATTTTTTTATTACTGACATATAATATGTTATTGACGAGAGTTTCATTGACGAAGCATTTTCATCAATGATCTTGTCGATAAATTAATTATTGACAGAATAATAGTATAAATACCGATGAAAAATTCCCTTAAAAATATAAGAATTCTAGTAACAATAAAGTAGCTTACCTTATATAAGATGTCACTAAGGGTGCTAATATATTTTATAATCATAATCAGTCTCTTATATTTAAAATGTCTAATAAAACTAGTATACCTAGTTTTCTAGTAAACCTAAAGTAAATAATTAGATGGCAAATCCCATGACTTCCTAGCATCGTAAGCTCAAGTGTATCGTATATTTACATGTGAAGTTGTATTATATGTGAAAATTTACCTATATAAAAGAGCAATTTAAAAAAAAATATAAAAGTCTAAAGCCTAAATTAATTAGTTATGGATCCAGTTTACATATAAATAATCTATTTTTAATAGCTGATAAAGCTTCTTACTAGTGTTATCTAAGCATCATATCTGTTTAGACATTTTTTATGGTGCCTTTTCATTTTGATTAATTAGGGTGGGATAATGTGGGAGAAGTAGATAAAATCATCCCCACCTTATTTATGTTTGTCACATGGCTCCATTATTGGATATTGATACGTTCCCTCGTTATGGCCCTAACAAATTGCAATAAAAAGACGACAACAATAAATATTAATGTCAATGGCTTCTTGGAAAGCCGCATTTCCTGGAAAAATCCGCGTCCTAGCTATGGTTTCCTTTCAATATTAGTTATATAACATTTTCTAGGCCTACGGAGCACAGTATGTTGCCAGAAAAAAGGAGAGCAAATAAGGATTGAGGCCATCTCTTCTTTTCTAGCTACCGACTCTAAACAATATTTCATTTCCCCCCAACTTAGCTGATGCTAGTTGTAGTTTATATGATGGATTTAGCCCTACTAACGTTGCTGTATGGATGGTGTTTATCGACCAAAGCCAGATCACATTACCATCAAGTTGCCTTGTATGTAAGCTGGTTAACACATGGATCTTTCAGTTCTGACCGAAAACGAGAAACAAAGCTTTCAGAGATAATGCAGATCACAAATTAATGTTATATATGCTGCTTCTCAAGGCTTTGCTGATATTGTTTTTGTATTTGTTATAGGAGTAAGAGGAGCCTTCACTCTCTCTCTCTTCTTTCCTTTAATTTATATTTTTTTGGTAGTTAGTCTCTTGATAATTATGTAATTAAATCCTCGATCATTATAAGAAAAAAACAATTAATGAGGATATCCATCAAGCTGATTAATGTCAATCCACAGACCAATTAATCACTAGCTAGTTTCTCCGAGATCTCCAGAGGTCATAGAAGTTTTTGGAAATTCATTCATATAAATTTCTGTATTTGTTTATAAATGTTTTTTCAAAAATTGAAGTGCTTACACGTACTATTGATAAATAGTTGTATATATATTGAGCATCCAAACTCTAATTACCATTGCCAGCTCAACTATGTTGTCACTAAAATATGAAAATTAATGGACTGTGCAATAGTAAGTTGTCAAGCACGAGTGCTAGGCATGGTGGATAATTCCATCGCTCTGCTATATAGCAGACTGAAACAACTTGGACGTGCTAGCTTCGGTTTTTACAGCCACCCTTATCTATCAGACGCTTGGTGGTTGAGCACGTCATTAATGTAGCATCGATCGAAGGCTCATAACATGAAGCGAGGAACACTATTTATACCTAGCTTCATTCATCATTTA